GAGGCTGTGGCCGTGCTCTCTGGGAAGGGGCGAGCCTCACCCAAATATGAGCAGGTTCTTCTCCACGCGGAAGCACTCAGCCCGCAGGTATCGCCGCGTCTTCTCGTTGAAGCGCCGCGAGCGCGTGGGTCGCTCGTCCGAGTCACTGTCCAGCTCGGAGAACTCCATCAGCTCATCCTCTTCAAAGGAGTTGTAGTGTTTGGTTTGCTTCCGCACCCGGGGCCTGTCGATGACCAGGCTCTCCTGCAAGGGACAGAGAGGAGAACGCACTCAGGTATGGGCAGAAACACCTGCCTTCCATAAGGGCACAGTACGCCCTCTTCCCCGCACTGCCACCCTGCTCTGCTCACACCTCTGGTTCCTGGCTCACCAGCCCCAAGGCTCGCCATCACCTTCCCACCGGAATACCTGCTCCAAATTACCGGCATGCAGCTCTGCCTGCACCCATGAGACAATTCCTGGCCAGCACAAAATTCAGCCTGAATGATGGCAGGCTGAAAATCAGGCCCTCTGGGCTCAAATTGCTGACAACCAGCTGCTGATTCAGCTCTGAATCATACTCCTGGCCCTCCTAGCACTGCCTGTGCCTAGCGCTGTGCTAGAGGCGGTGCAATTTCTGTGTCGGGGGGCATAGGTGGGCTGGAAGAGGAAAGGCAGCTTCCAAGAAGGTGCAGGAGGGAGCAATATGAAATTAAACAGCACACACCTGCCTCCTCTCCTTCCCCCCACCCTGTCAAATGAATCCATGTCATCTAAATCTGCCTGTATTTCAATCACGTGGGACACCCCCCCCCCCCTCTCCCATTCTCCCTGCTAGAGCAGTGAGCTCTGCAGAGCTGTGGGGCCTCCCTGTTCCTGCTGTCTAACACCATATCTACTGCGTGGCTGCCTCAACGGGCATTTCGGCAGGCCCCAGGGCCTCACTGAAAGCCAGCTGCAGCACCCAGCGCTCAGCGGAGGAGCCCAGAGGAGAGGCCCAGGTTGCAGTCAGGCCCATGAGCTCAGCAGGGCCAGCGGAGAGATGGGAACCCATCCTACTCCCCGACAGGCAGAGTCACCAATCCTCCCAGCTCCATCTCAGCGCTCAGCTACAGATCTCCCTTCATGGGCAGAGCAGGCAGGGGCCAAGAACAAAGATGCTGCCCCCAGGAGATGGTCCCCAGAGGCACGTCCATGGCTCTGCTACCAGGCCAGAAGCCAAGCAACAGCTTTCTGGAGCTCCAGCTGCTGTATTTGCCCGTGGCCACTGCTGGGAAGAAACCAATTTGCCAGTGAGGGCAAGAGGCAAGACCCCGGGAGCATCCATTTAGAGCCTGCAACCCCTTCACGTGGGCAGGGTGACAGGCCTGCCAGATCCACTTGGCTGTGCTCCTCGTGGCCACCTCTGAAGGCAAGACAGCAGGGATGCGAATGCTGATGGAGGAAGGAGTGGCACAATCCACACCTGTCCCCACTTGCTCCATCAGGCCAGGAGAAGCCCTGGGCAGTTCCCTTCACCCCTATTCACATTCAGCTTTTAGAGAGGTTTGTTTCTAAAGCAATGCCTGCATATTGAGCTTGACCCCCACGGTCTTTGAACAAGCCCCCAGGCTCGGGTGAACATGGCTAGTTGGATATGGAAAATATCCAACAGGCAGCACAAGGGAGCATTTGACACTGTAGGAGCAGGGGGAAGTACCAGAGGAGCTGCCCAAGCCAGAGCTCCTCTTGCAACACCCCTTGCACTGTCAGGGCCAAACCCAGCTGGCCTGAATGACCTTGCTTGCACCCTCCTGCTCAGAGGAGATGAGAAGCTGAGCAAGAGGGAGCATTTGCAGAGACCAGGCAGGGCTGCGTCCATCCCCTGATGCAATGAGCCCCTGGCAGCCTCTTCCCCAGTCTGCCCTAAACACAACAGACACAGCTCTGAGACCCAAACCAGACCAAGCACCCACATACAGCGATGCTCTGACAAACCCAGTGCCACAGCCACAATACTCAACCTCTCTGCAACCTGCCTTCGTCTGGGAGCACAAATGAGGCAGGGAAGCAGCAAAGCACCTCACAGCCCTCACTGTACGGGCATATTCACCAGAAAGAGACATTTCTTCCGCAAAGAGGAAGCCAGCAGCCACCGCCTGCTCCAGCCCAGCCAGTACACTGCTCCCACTACGGCACCGCAGCCCAGTGCTTGCTCAGTGAGGGCTCCCAGTTCCAGGGGTGTGCTCATATCCACGAAGCCAGTGAGAGGCTGGGACTTGAGGGTGCCAGTGTGCCTGACACAAGCCTCTTGAGCAGCAGTGTCTCAGCACTGTCATGCCACTGCAGCTCCTCAAAATCCTCCTGTGCTGCTGCTGGAACCCACACATTAAATGTTATGAATAAATCACAGCTGAGAAGCGTGGTCATTATGGTTATTATTTTGGCATTAAACAGGACCACGTGACACACAACTGATTCCAGGGACCTGCCTGCTCTGATGTTACCTGCTCCCCACCAGCCTCAGCTAATTGCAAGTCCACTTTGCTTCTAGGTCAGTAAATGGCTGGACTTGCTGCTGGGTTGAAGGCTCCCCGAACAGGCCCATGGGTGCTGCAGCCCTGCCAAGAGCCTGGAGGGCCAGCTGAGGAGAGGGAGCCTGGGCCAGCAGGCACAGTCACACGCAGCACAGCTTCCTCTGCCTGCTGCTGGGAGAGCTGGAGCCCCTGCCGAGCTTCACCACGACAAACACACCTCCTTAGCCATCGAGACCTGCGGTGCTGGCAGTCGGGGGGCTGCGGTGAAATGAAGGTGCCCAGCACCGTGAGCTCCAGGGCCCAAAGCGCTGGAGTATACAAACTCATGTCAGCTCGTCTGGCCTCCTCCAGAGCTGCCAGGCCAAGTGCTCCCCTCTGCCTGGGGTGCCAGGTCTCACATGGACTTGGGTTTGAGCTGAGGAATGGTAACACAGCTTCCCCCGAGCGTGGGAAGAGCCTTGCTCACCCCATCAATCCCCAGACACAGCAAGAGCTGGCACTTGGGCCCCTTTGTGTCCTGCCAGGGCACACCGCAGCTTGGCCCTGGTGTGCCTCAAGCTAATAAAGGTCTCTGGGCTTGGTGAGACAGCCAGGGAGCCAGGAGACCAGAGCTGGCACCTGGAGGGCAGCATGCGACCATCCCGGTACTGCTCCATGCTGGAGTCCCAGCCCCAGCTGGCCAGGCTGCCAGGACCCAACCTGGCTGGCAGCGGGAGGCACTCGTGTCTGCCTGTACTGTGGGAACGCTGGCACAGCTCCAGCTCACACACAGCAGTCATACCAGTCTGCTGGGTTCGCGGGCATGCCACTCTGCTGGCTGTTTCATCCTCTCCTCCCCTCACACGCTGCCAGCCCCAACTGCTGCCCCTTCATCAGGCTTGGGAGTGGCCGGGAGCACAGACTGAACATCCCAAAATATCAAACAGACGCAGTCCAACATGTGGCTAAAGTAATGGGTGCTTCAGAGAGCACTCACAGGTCAGTCTTCCCTTACAGTAATTCCTGATGCCTGACACCTATCCCTTCATGAGAACAGTGGAAGCACAGAGCTCCTGCCTGGAGACCATGCCACGCGGTGTCAGATCAGTTGTGGGGCACGCAGGCCACGAGCTGGATCCTACCTTTTCATTCTTGGCGTCTGTATCAAGCTCTGCTATCTTGGCCCACTTTTGCCAGAAGTTGGGGTCATCTAAGGAGATGTCAGTTCTGTTTCCTGATGCCACAAAGCTGGCCTGGGAGTGAAAGAAAAGGAGTAAGCAGGGTGCAACTCAGCATCCAGATGTGCCTTCCCCCATATAGAGATCCTAACACATCTGTCTGCAAAGCAGTCTCACTGCCATGGGGTGTTATACTCCATGCTGACACACACCAGGGGGCTCCGTGTTTGTTTAAGGGAGCCAAACCCCTCTCTTCTGCAATCCTGCCTGACCCGTTGGAAACGGAGCCTGGGCTGTGCCACCTGCAAGAGGAGGAATAGATGGCCCTTGGCGCCCCCAGTGGACACCAGCCATGAGTGTAGCACAGAGCTGGCTCCTTGGGCTCTCCTGCAAAGTTGTCAGGGCACCATGGCACAGCAGCACCCAGTTTTGGGCATTATGCAGCCAGCAGCTGGGTCCCACCACCACCCTGGGATCTCCCTGCAGAACCAGGTCCCAGAGCAGCACAAGAATGAGTCTGGAGACAGAGATGGGCTGTGCTGTGGGAGGGCTGTGCTGAAGGTACAACTCCTTCCCACACCACCGGCAGTCCAGGTCTCCACCTGCATTTCTGCTTGGCAAAGCACCCCGCTGGGGCAGCACTGGTGTCCAGAAGGGCAGGCGAGGTGACAGACTCCGGACCAAATTAGCTCAGCCCATGAGTAGAAGATCTGCCCAGCTCAGGACTGGATCTCATGCAGGCTTTAAACTCAAGGAGTGAGCTCTGAACTCATCCTCCCCTAGGAGAGGCCTGACCCTGCCCACAACAGCTCTGGCCATGGCCTGCTGCCACAGCCAGGAGTCCTCAGCCCACCAGAAGAGCAAACCCTCCACCCTAGTGCCCCGACAAGAGCAGCTCTGCATCTGTCCACACTGCTGGCCTAGTGACAGAGCACACCCTGGCACTGCCTGGCACCTGGAGAGCTGGCAAGCTGAACCCTCCTGGGCAACCTCACAACACCTACCCAGGCTGGTGGCCCCCTCCTCAATGCTCTGATGACTACCAGCGAGACAGAAGAAGGTCTCACTCCTGGGCACAGCGGGACAGGCAGGAGAGCCGGGCCTCCATGCAGACATGTCTCAATACACAGCCAAGAGGTCAGCCCACCACTACTGCCCTGCGTGCTCCCAGCAAGTCCCCTACCACCCCAGGGGGTGTCCCCCTTCCCTCCCAGTGGAGCACAGCACACCTTGGCAAAGGTGGAGCCCTTCCCCTCAGACTGGATCGTGATGGTCTGTGTCCTGCGCTGGAGGATCTGATCAATGTCTTCCTCACAGAACTTTGATCCTTCGTCCTCCTCGTCCATGAGAGCGCCGTAGGCACCCTTCCGCAGCAGGTCCTCCACCTCCATCTTTTTCCTGCCCAAAACATGAGGGAATCACCAGTCTGGCCAGCTGCCCTGGTCATTACACAGCAGGAGAAGGCTCTTCCCTTTGACCCAGGAGGGAGGGCAGAGAAGCCCCAAGCCAACCCAGACCTCCCACTGCACCAAAGATCACTTCAAAATGCTGCCTGAGGGACTGTCAGGAATTTCAGTTCATGTCACCCAGACACAGCAACACATCTGCCCCGTGGCAGTTCAGGCCAAACCGCAGCAATGTGAGTGTGCGGGCCTGCGCTCTTCCTCCCCAGCAGCCTGCTCTGACTTGGCAGTGACTTGCAGGGGAAGGAGGAGAGCTCTCCCACAGTGCCCAGCCCCACTCCGACAGCCAACCTACCCCGTTGGTGCTGCCTTTGCGGTTGATGTCCTGCAGCACGGCCTTATCCAGGCCCAGCTTCAGGCTGGCCTTGTCGAACATCTCCCGCTCGTAGGAGTTCCTGGTGATGAGGCGATAAACTTTCACCGCCTTGCTCTGCCCGATTCGGTGGCAGCGAGCTTGAGCCTGGGAGCGCAGAGAGCACAGCGTCAAGCACAGGGAGCTCAGCAGGATGGGGATGGCGTGGCTTGTGGCATCCTGCACCAGCACCCACCACTCACCCACGTGAGCCACAGGCAGCTCCCATCCACCAGAGCACCCTCACCTAGTGCCTGTGGCTGACAAGGCAGGGCTCTCCAGAGGGTGCTGGTTAGCACCAGGCCTTCAAGGCTGTGGAGCAGGAATTGGAGACTGCTGCACCCCTGGGCAAGGACACAGGGCCCAGGCTGGAGCCCTGGCTGGCTGCAGATGGGGGCACCCAACACTTCACCCCTTCCAACACCAGGTATGGTCAAAGTGTTGCCTGGTCTGTGGCCTACCTGTGCTTTTAGAGCCACACCATGACCTCCTCCATGACATGTCCCCTCTGTCTGCCCTCCTGCCAGCTCTCCCAGCATGGCACCCCACGCCCAGTACAACTGGGCGCTGCTGCCCGTCTCTCCCCAGCTGCACGAGTGACGGCAGCCATGCTGCAGGATCTCCCAGAAGCCTGGTCCGGCCCAGCCCGTTACCTGTAGGTCGTTCTGCGGGTTCCAGTCCGAGTCAAAGATGATGCAGGTGTCGGCAGCGGTCAGGTTGATGCCCAGCCCACCTGCCCGTGTGCACAGGAGAAAGACGAAGCGATCCGAGTCGGGCTTGCAGAAGCGGTCGATGGCAGCTTGGCGCAGGTTCCCGCGCACGCGCCCATCGATGCGCTCATAGGTGTACCTGCTCCAAGAGGGGAAATGGCCAGAGCAGGGTTACAGCAGGGCCTGAACTGCCTGTGGCTTAACAACCCCTTCTTGCTCCTTCCCCCGGGCTGTGGGCGGGCACGCAGGCAGACGGGACTTACCGGCAGGGCCTGTGCACAGGCGGAGGCTCAGGCCCCGTCAGCCTGTGGGCACTGTGGTTGTGCCCAAAAGTCATTCCTCTTATGATGGCAAAATCACCACGACCCCACTCACAGTGCATGGATATGGGGCTCATGGGAACCAGGACCAAGGGCCTATTTCCATTTGGTCACTTCTAGCACTAGCCCTGCGCAATGCAGAATGGACAGGTCAGAACTGCCCAGCTTTGGGTCTTTGCAGCCACCAGCAGTAGCCTGCAACTCAGACCCTTTGGTACGTGGGCACGGAATGGCCAAATCCCCACTGTTTCCCTTCTGTATCTACAGTGCAGGATGGAGGTGATGTGGAGGAGCTGTGGGGACTGCTGAAGCCTGTACTAACCGCCTTTGAATGAGATAGTCTTCCAGGATGTCGAGGCAGCGCACCATCTGGGAGAAGATGAGCACCTTGTGCCCACCAGCAATCAGCTTGGGAAGCAGCTTATCAATGAGCACCAGCTTGCCGGCCGCCTGGATCATCGCCTGCAGCTGGAAGTCTGGTGCCTCTGGGCTGTGTGTTTTACGAAAGTCTTCCAGGATCTTCTCCTCCGCCCCTGCCAGGTGAGAAGGGATGTGAGCTCTTGGTGAAGCTGGCAGTGCAGCTGTCCCCAGACTCCTGTCCAGAGCAACAGCAAGCCACCACATGAGGAACTGAACCCATGCAGTCAATCAGGTCTAAGGAAGTTGGCTAGAGACCTCCAGAAGCCCCTCCACTCCTGTGACTCTACTCCTTCTTCAGGGCTTGCACCAGCTCTTGGCAGAACAAGTCAGGCTGGGATATTGGAGAGGGTCCCACACCAAAACACTCCCAAACATAGCAAGCCTCACAAGACCCTGAGGTGCCCACCAGCAAGCAGCACTTGCAGGGAGCTGGGCTGCCTGTGAGGGCAATAAAGTAGATCACTGCATCCTGTGCTGGGCCCGGATGCACCACCATACCAGCACGAGGGCCTCAGCTGGCCCCCAAGCTGGGTGAGCTCTGCAGGTAGTGACCAGTAAATGTTGCAGTGATATCTGTCCCCCCGCCTCAGCCTCCTGCGCACAGCCCTCACCATTGATGAGATACGGGTGATTGCAGCACTTCCGCAGCTCCATCATGGTGTTGATGAGGTTGGGCATATTGTGCTGGTTGGCACCCTTGGAGAGGAAGGAGAAGTTCTTCTCCAGGATGGCCCGGTAGTATTTCTTCTGGATATTGGTCAGCTCCACCTCAATGATGGTCTCCTGCTTGGGTGCCAGATTCTTCTCTACATCATCCTTCAGCCGCCGCAGCATCATGGGCTTCAGGATGGACTGCAGCTTCTTCACCTACCAGAGCAAGCGCAGAGATTCACTGCCCTCCCTGCATGGCAAGCACAGGGTGACAACAGCGGAGGGGCCTCCAACGCTACAGCCTCCCCAGGCTGGAAACCCACTACAAATGTCCCTGAAGCAGCTGCTCTACTGACAGCCGGGACAACTTAAGGGTCTGGCTTCCTTGTGGCAGGCATGTGAGTGCCAGCCCTGGGCCATGAACTCCACACGCCTCTGCTGCTGGCAGCCTTGGGTAAATGTGTCTGCTGCAGGAGAGCTGAGAGCTTTGATAGAAGCTGAGACAATGGTTGCTCATGTGCCTGCGCCTGCTGCCTCAGAATGGCGACCTTTGTGAAAACTCTGCTTAAGCCAGCCATCCAAACGGCAGCACGACAGCCCAGGGGACTGAGCTGCTTTCCATGACCCAAGCACAAGTGGAACTTGGGAGGATGGCTCCCCAGGGGAACCTGGCAAGGGCAACTGACACACGGACTTACTGATCTCCTCGCTCCCCTACACTCCTGTTGGACTCAGGCTCAGATGAGGTGGGAAAGTTGGGTAAACTGGGCTGCCGAGGCACGCCAGGGACAGCGGGGAGCTAGGCAGGGAGCAGACCACTGTGTTGGCACAGGCTGCTCTCCTCTCTCCAAAGCAGCGTTGGGGGCTCTGTCACAACTTTGCACCTCCCAGCATGAGGAGTCCTATTCAATTCCATGAAGCACATGTCCGAGTGTGTGCCTGGCTTGATGACCATATGTCCCAGTGGCCTGTGCTAACAGTCACCAGCGTCACTCTCCTAGGTACCTGCTCCTCTGTCTTCAGGTCTCCAAACTCCTCCAGGAAGGCTGTCTCTGAGGGGAACTGCTGTGGCTCCAGGAAATTCAGGAGGCTGAAGAGCTCCTCCACCGAGTTCTGCAGGGGTGTCCCTGTCAGCAGCACCTTGTGCTCCTGGATATACACAGAAAACAGGTTGAGGGCTCAGACCCACTGGCTGGGTCCAAGGGGTCCCAAGAGTGCAAGGCTCCTTGTCTTCCAGCCTCAAGGGCGTTCTGGATGGCCTGGGGGCACACACACTCCCTGAAAGGCTCCCCTGGCCACGGTGCCAGCCCTGACCCAGACACTGCCACGCAACACTGTCTTGTGGCTCCCAGGACACTCCCCTGGACGTGTCCCCGTCCAGCTCTGTGCAGCAACAACAGCCAAAACCGAGAATCCCACACTAACCTCAGGCTTCAGCCCTGCCCTGGCACAAGACTCTCAGACAGCCCTGTGCTGGCACCAGACGGGGACACTGACAGGAGCTCAAGCCTCGTGCACCTGGGGGCAGGATGTCCCTCTTCAGGGCCTGGGCAGAACAAGAGGGAACACGTCCCAGAGCCATGTGATACTGAGGGGCATCAGGGACCTACTGCTAGGGCCAGCGTGAGCAGGATGCTCCAAAATCAGCGGGGGCATGTACTGACTGTGTCAGGTGTGCAACTGGGAATGAAGAGGAGCTTTTATCAGCGGTTCACCATGTAGGTACATGCACAAAAGGAGACAGGGGTCCAGACAACCCTCCAAGACCTGGGGGCGTGAGGAGGGGATGACCCCTCAAGGAGAACACACATCCTTCCTGAGCTGACACCATGGGCTCCGGCTTCAGGCACCGCCAGGTGCTGCCTCCTGGGGCACACCAGCTGCTCTGTTCCAGCAGTGCCAGAGACTTGGGCACTTGCTCACTGCTCAGGCTAATCCTCCTGCCCAACCTAACACAGGGAATGTCCCCAAGAGTCACCAGCTTTGAAAGAAGGGCAACTGTAAGGTGGGAGGCTCCCACAGGACTAGTACAAAGGAAGGTGATGGTTACGAAGGGGGACCAGCAGCAATACTGCTTTTCTGCAGGCTGCTCACAACCCAGCACGGACCTGCACAGGACACAAGGTCATGGGGAAGCAGCAGGGTCTTTGGGAACTGGACGCATAAGACTAACAACTTTTGGAGGCCTGGCCCAGCTACAGGTGAGTGTGAAGGAAGCTGGGTAGGGCTGGGAGTTCCAATAGGCCTGATGGCCCTCAGTGCAGCAAACAGCAGCACTGCTTTTCCCAGGGCTGGAAAGGAGCTGGACATCCAAATTCACTTCTCAGAGCAGCTCATTGATCCCTTTTTCACCACACACAGTCTTGCACCCCCATCCCTGGCATGGACTGGTCCCACAGTAAGAAACCAGCTTGAATACTGCAGCCCTTCTCACTGCAGGGTACAAGGCACACCATGGCCAGAGGATGCTGTGCATGGCTGGCCAGCAACGGCCTCCGTGTGCTGCAGAGCAGCCTAAGCTGGGCTGCAAGGCCAGGCAGTGCTCTGCCAGTGGGGGGACTTGGCCTGCTGTGGGTTAGTATTTCCCTTCGGCAAAAAGGAGCTCGTGATGGCAGCAGGGCACCAGTGCCCCATCCATCAAAGGGCCCCCTGTCACTGGCACTCCTCCAGTGACCTGATGGGTCCTGGATGGTTTTCACTCTGACAGGGAGCTCTCAGGCCTGGCACTGGGCCTGAGCAGCTGGCAGTGCCACCTGACTGCTAGGCACGGCCATCTTTGGCCCACCCTGCTTTCACATGAACCTGGGCAGGACGTGCTCACCAGGGCCATGAGCTTCAGCCCCTCCAGGAGTTTGCAGTTCCTGTTCTTCAGGCGATGTGCCTCGTCGATGACCACGCAGCGCCACTGGATCTTCTTCAGCTCCGGGCAGTCGGCAAGGATCATCTCAAAGGTGGTGATAACCACCTGGAACTTGAAGATCCCAGGGAGAGGGTTACCCTAGGGAGACATAAACCATTTACAGCGCTTGGCTCCTGCAGGGTGGCGGGACACTGTCAGACATCCTATCAACATAGCAGTGTGAGCTTCTGGCTCCTAGCTGGGGTTTCCCCAGATTCATCTCTCCCAAGCAACGGGCAGATTCCTGCAAGCCTCCTCACTGGCTGCGGGCTGCGTCCCTCCAAACCAGACACTACTTCAGGGCAGACAAACAGGCCTGGACAAGAGCTTCAGCTGGGGCTCTGCTGCACTTTCCCCTTTCTGCATGGGTTGGGCCTGTTCTTCACTCGCACACAGTGCACCCTGAGACCATGCCAGCCAGCAAAGGGGTCTTAAAAGATCACCTTTCCCTCTCCAGATGAAATATAAGCTCCACGTGCAGCTCAGTGCTTCCCCATGTAAAGGAAGCCAGGGCTGGGGAATGCATGCTGGGAGTGTTGTGTGTGTCAATCACCTGTGTGTCCCTGTACACCATCTCGTACTGCTGGATCATCTGCCGGCTGATCTGGCTGCCGTGGTACACGATGGCATTCATCTCCGTCCAGGTGCGGAACTCCCTCTCCCAGTTGGTGATGGTGGAGAGAGGTGCAATGATGAGGAAGGGGCCATGGATGCCCATCAGGAATATTTCTGAGAGGAAGGTGATTGACTGGATTGTCTTCCCCAGCCCCATCTCATCAGCCAGGATGCAGTTCTTCCTGCAGAGATGGACAGGGGCAGGTGAATGGGGCTCTCAGGGGGCAGGAACCACCCTGTTGTCAACTCCTCGATGGGATGTCAGGCACATCACCTCCACCCACACCTCTCTGACACAGCATGGAGGGGGTGGGGACATTGGTACAGTGTTCCAAACTGGTCTAGGTAAGCCAGACCATCCAACTTCTCGCAAGATGATGGACTCAAAGTTAGTATGAAAGATGTGGTCCTTTGGGTGTGCTCTAACCAGGGAAAGATGCATGTGATGGCCTGCTGCAGCTGCGAACATGCATATGCCTGCACTCCTGCCACAGGAATGGGTCACCAGTAGCCTGGCCAATACCAAAAATCAGGTCTATCTTAGACCACAGCTAAGCCCTACTATCTCCAAGACACATCAGCATTTACCAGGAAGAAACATTCCTAAAGCCTCAGTTGCAAAGCTAAAACAAACACAATTTCTCTGGCAGCTGCCTGCCAGCTCCAGCACTCAAAGGTCTCAGTGCTCCTCCGCCAGCTCTGCTCCCTCAGCTCTGCTACTCCTGTGACTGTACACACCAGGGCCCCACAGTCAGCAGGAGTCCTTGTGGGAGCACAGGGCTCCAGCCCCTCCTCACCTGTTATACCAGTTAAAGAGCAGCCAGTTCATTCCCTCCAGCTGATACTCCCGCAGCTGGTTGCTGTTCTTATACTCCCGGGACTTCTCCAGTTTCTGCCAGGACTCAGATGCTGGCCGCTCCTAGGAGAAGAGAGCAGGAGCAAGGTCCATGGCGAGGAACAAGCTAATGCTTAGCAAGGCCAGATCCTGCTTCTGGGGCTGCGCATCAGGACAACACTTCAGAACAGTCATGACAGCTGATTGACAGCAAGGTCTTGGTCTCCAGATCCCACCCTCGGATCCCGCTAACTAACCCATCTGGAGGGGAGCATATGGGGCTTACACTGCAGCAGGAGGGACAAGAAGGTCAGCACTGCTGGACCTTGGCAAGACACAGACAGTCCCTGCCTGCCCAGGGCAGTGAGCTGCCAGCCGGGTACGTTACCTCTGGGTACGTTACCATGTGCTTGATTTCTGGAGGGATTTGGAGGGCTTCAAACTCTTTAATCTTCCCTGGGTCGACATCCTCCTCCAGCTCCCAGGTGCTCTCCTCATAGGGCAGCGAGCACCACTTCACCAGGTAGTGAGTCACCTCCTGCAGTGGGGAGAGACAGGCTCAGAGACAGCGCGAGGCTCACGGCTGCTCAGCCCCAGCGTGCGGGCACAGACTGCGACGGGGAGCGAGTCACAGGGACGGAGAGCAGCCTCCATTTACCCCAGTGCCAAGGGGTCCCGGGGGACAGGGCTCAGGCTGCACAAGGCTGGGGAGGCCTCAGGGGGCTCAGAGGTGACATGCGAAGCATGTCTTGGTGTGGGCCTCCTGCCAAGCCTCCCGCCCTCCCTCCATGGGGCAAGCAAACGATGCAGCCACCCACCTCCCCGGTGTCAGGGTCCTTCGTGTGAGCCACCTCCAGAATTCGATCTACCTCCACGTAGTCCGGGTTGAACAAATCCTCATCAGGCTGCAACAGCAATGAGTAAAATGAGAGGTAAGTTCAAGGTGATTCCAGGGTTAAACAGATGGCAGGCACGAGTAAACAGCTGCGGGGCATCTGTCCCCAGGACGCTGCTAGCTGTGCGAAGCACACCAAGTGCCCTGGCTGCAGGTACAGACATCTGTCTCTGGGCAGGGAGGACGCAAGAGCCCTGCAGAAAGCAAAGCTCTTGCTTTAGAGCAGCCGCGGGCTCCGTGCTGCCCTTGCTGGGAGGCAGGAACGTCCTCTCCAGCCCATCTGGCCCGAAGGTATAAAGCCCTGAGCTGTACGCTCCAGCTTACAGGCAGCATCCAGAGCTGTGACTGCCACAGCACAGCGCCACACAGAGCACCTGACAAACTCCACTCCTCCGCAAGGGATGACACCTTGTTCTCTCTCTGCCACTTTCCCCACCTTCAGCTCAGCAGTCACCAGCAGCAACCGCTCATGAGGCAAGGGCTCATCCTCCTGCCAGGAACACCTGGGGAGGAGTGGGCTTTAGACTAGAGCAGTCCTTGGAGAGACACATTGTCTAAGGCTTGGGAAGGAGGAAAACCAGGCATCTATGTTCACAGCTCCCCCAGTCCTAGTTAGTCACAGGAAAGAACGTTTGCTCCTTGCTAAATTGTTAGTGGTACAGTGCGTTCCAACACATGCTTTTTCTTTGCATCCTGGGAAAGACCCCAAACAGAGTCAGGAGTGAGAAATTTGACACACACCCCCAGCCTTCAACTCCATCCATGGAGAAATTTTCATAGCCTACTGGCCTGATTTACACTTTTAAGGGGCAGTTTGAGGAGATCCAATAACTATCTCTGCAGCAGCAAGAGGAATTATAGAACACCTTTCATATTAACCAAGATTAATCTGCTTATAGAGCAGAGCAGGCAGGAGCTGCCCTAAGCCCAACTATTTATAGCTCACTCTCTCCCATAGCATCTCTGCTCCACCATGAAAGCACCTCCAGCACTTCACGCTGCCCTCCCTCCCACTGAGCAATGCTTCCAGGACTGGCAGTGCCTGGCAAGTGACATTTGTCACCCTGCCCATAACTCTGCCAGCGACACCACAGGTGTTCAGGGCACTGCCGTGGCCCCTTGGCTCCAGCATCCCCACCCGCTCACCTGCTTCTACCAGCCTGGTAGCTCAAGGTGCCAGGCTGCTGCCTGGGCACTGCCACGGTGTCAGCGAGCGGGCACAGGCAGAGCTCTGGGCAGCACCCAGGGATCACAGAGCTACGGTAGAGCTCAGGCAGGGCAGGCACAGCTGCACAGTGAGCCCTGCCTGCCCACTCCCAGCCCTGAATTTTGGCCCTGGAGCTGGTCTCGCCTGGGCAGGGAGGTGCCAGAGGCAGCGCTCAGCTCTCGGCCTGCTCAGCCACTGCACTGGGCCAAGGTGTGCCAGGGTTGGGCACAGCTGCTTGCCACGCTCAGCTCTCACCTCTGTAAAAATATGCTTCATCTGTGCCTGCTTGTTCCGAAAGCGCTTTATCTTCTGGGAGATCCTGGGGTCCTTCTCCAGCTCCTCCAGAGTCGCCCATTTACAGTGGAGGTAGGAGCTGCAGAGGAAAAATTAATCAACAAAACATGACCAAAGAGGCCTCTGGGCCTGATCCCATCCACCATGCAGACCAGCAGGGATCTCCCAGCAACCCAGAGAACACCCAGCCTATGCCTCCCCCTGCGAAACCCCAAACTGGAGGGAGCTGGGGCCCAGGTCCAGGCCAAGACTGAGCACTGTGGCTGCAGCGGCTTTCCTGCTTCCCACTGCTGGGGCTGGCTCTGGAGGACAGGGGCAGCAAGACAGGGATGCTGGGGCTGCAGCTGGGTATGGGACAGAGGTTGGAGCACACAGTCCTCGCTTCTGCATGCACAGGGCCCGCTGCCGTGGCACAGTGTGCCCAACACCACACGTACAAGTTCCTGTACTTGACGTAGAACTCCTCCATCTCAAACGCCAGGCCTCCGGGATGAGCCTGAAACCAAGGAAAGGAGAGTCAGCAACAGTCAGAGCCTGTGCAGAAACTGGGGGCCATCCTCAGCAGCCTGGGTGCAGACAGGCGTCACAGGCCTCAGGCAGGCCAAGTCCCACAGACGGCGAGGACGGCCAGGCACTCGATGTGCTGCCTGCTCCAGAGGCTCAGTGGCCCTGGGGAACGTAGTGTGAGACCACCCAGGAACACAGGGGACTCAGCCCGGGCCTGACTTCTTTCCAGAGGCTTTCTGGTGCCCAAGGCAGCAGAGGTGCCACATTGATCCCCAACCCAGAAAGATGCGAGTCCAGGCATACTCCAGCAGCACCCTGCGAAGAGGAGTGCAAGGAATGGCACGGCAGCATCCACTGCTGCTACATCTCATGTCCCTGCTGTACATCGCAGCCAGGTCCCATCTCTCTTCTGCCCAAGGACCTCCAGCCCCACTGACATCTTTGCCACTCACCTCCTTCTGCACCATCCTGGAGGCAAGGATCTTCTCAATGATATTGGCATCATCCTCAGGAGGCTCCTGGGGATAGGAGAGCAGAGCGCTGTTTTCCCAGCTTATCGCGTGGCTTGGCCTCTGGCACTCCCCCAGCAGAGAATGGCTGCTCGCTCCTCTCCCAGCGCACCGGCCAGGCAGGCAGAGCTGGCTCACCGGGAGCCGGGAGAGCTGCACTTGGGGAACCCTGGCTGGCTGCGAGCGTGCAGGTGCTGCCAGCCCAGCTAGGCTCGCCCTCTGCCTGTGCTCCCCAGGCCAGCAAGGCCACAGCGCTGTTGTGATTAGCTGTGTGGGCCCTTCCAGCTAGACCAGGACAGCCAGAGAGGGTGGCAAGTCTCCCAGAAAAGAAGAGGGAGCTTGGGTGCTTCTGCCCCAAGACTCAAGGAAGGAAATCTGCCAAAAGGTGCGCATCTGCTCCCAGCCACTGTCCATGCCAGATCCCTGACTTGCCTTGGCATTTATACAACCCTGTAGTGCTGGATGGACCCAAGGGCCCCAGCAGAGCAGGGAGCAGGGCTGTGGGGCACTGTCACAGGCATCCTCTGTTGCTGCTGCCTGCCCATGGACACAGGACACAGGCAACAGCACCTCAGCCCCACCACTGTCCATGCAGCTCTCCCCGGCAGGCTTGAAGTGCTGCCTCCTTCCCCCCGCAGGCTTTGACCGTACCGTGAGGAAATCACCCCACGAGGCCGCAGAGACCTTCCGCTGGCCACCCATGGTCTCACACCCCACACCCTCACGAGCTTTGCTGGAGGTGGCCCTAACACTGTCCTACTTCCAGCTCCAAGACAGCAGGCACAGGGCAAGTGGGGAGGTCAAGGCTCCCCCAGCTGCATACTGTGGCAGAACCAGACCCACCAAACGCCAAGGGACAAGAGTGCTGGGCTTGTGCCTGTCTGCACTAAAGCAGGAGAGGCATGGAAGGATTAAGGGGCGAGGACAGACAGCAAAATGTGGAGCTTGCTTGAGCATTAGAAACATCAGTTCTGCCCTGGTATGGCAGCAGGAGGAAGAGCAGAAAGGAGGCGGACTCTGTTCATCCCCTTCAGACAGAGGCAGTCTGGTCCAAGGCAAAGCAGCCCTGAGATGTCCCTTTGCAGACCAGAAAGATTCCTCCAAGAAAGGCACGTGGCAGGCTGGGGAGGGACAGACAGTGAGGGCATCCCACACCACTCACTCAAAAGGGTCTGTGAAAGCCAAGGTGGCGCCCAGGACTGCAGCAACCCCTCCACGCCCCAGCCCTCAGCTGACCTGCTGCCTCAGCCCCCACCCTGTGGTGTGGGGCAGGATGCTGGGCCCAGCACCACAACACAGCGAGCAGGGTAACAGCAGCTCTGTCTGGGCCCCTCAGCTGCAGTCCTGTGGCCCAGAGGGGTTTTCTGCCCTGTTTGGGGAGCTCTGCCCCCTGCCAGGGTAACACGGCTGAGGGGAGCACGCAGAGATGCTTCCGCTGCAGCCACCATGCAGTGCCCACTTCTACATGCCCGGGCACCCACCTTGGCGCTGCTGCGCTCCAGCTTCACCCTGGCCACACAGGGTGTGTGTGAACACAGCTAGGGGTACAGGGTTCCCATCGCAGCCACCTCCAGTGCCCTGTGGCTGGGAGGTCCCACGCTGACCCACAGCCCAGCCAGCTTACACAGGTCCATGGCTCATCACTGGCAGCCTGCGGGCTGCTGGAGGAGCCCTGCACCGCCCTAGAGAGCTGCTGAGGAATGTGGCCAGGATGCAGGGGGAAAGCTGCAAGTCCAGGCCATGGGGAGAGCAGCCCTGAGGCCTCAGCACTCCCACCTTGCCCAGTCCTGACCCGGGGAGCAGCCACGGCCCGGCCTGGCCGAGCCTGCTGGCAGGAGTCCAGAGCAGCCACTCAGCAGAGACCCTTGCTGCCGTCAGACACCAGTCTTAATAATTCATCTGGAGCAGGACAAATTGAAGTGGAAGTCCAGGACTAAGAGGAGAGCAGGGTGGCAGCATAGACATATGCCAAAGGCAACACATTCCCACCTGCTGTTCTGAAAATCTCACTTGGAGAGATCCCTGCCAGGAGCCCAGCTGGGACACAGCCGGCGAAGCAGCTGAAGCAGCACCGGCAGCACCTCCCCGGGGTGTGCAGCAGCCCTCTGGGCTAGGCAGGGAGCATCAGGCCAGGTCTTATTTCCTGGCTTAACAACAGAGCTGTCTAATACCCGCAACAAAGCCTTGTGAAGAGGGGACTAGAGAGGGAGACAGGAACACTATGAAAACAATTGGTGACCATTATTAATATCTGGCAGCTTTGTCAGCAACCAGAGAGAGGGAATGAGCTGCAAGATCCAGCACACAGACCAGCAGGAAGGAGCTGCCAGCACCCACCAGGAGCCAGCGCTGAACCAGTGGGCAGAGGAGGCAGGGCGGCGACGCTCAAACTGTAGTGGCTCTGGCTGGTCCCTAATATGCTGCCCGGCAGATCAGCTTGGCTGACAACTGTCAGGCTGGGCATCACCACCCTCCAAGGCACTGATGGAGAGCAGCAATGTGGGCAGAAAACAAATGACCTGGCACCTACAAAGCCCTCAGCTGGGAGAGCCAAAATAATAGACTGACTTCATGGACAGGGGCTAAAGAGTCAGGAGACAAAGGTGGGCATGGGCAGTCGGTGGGCCATGCAGTCAGGGACATGTCCAGCTACATGACATATTCCAGAGGCCTTAATCTCCAAGCAGGAGGGGGACAGTTGGACCTGCACACCTCTTGCTCATCCCTTTGTGCACTCACAGTCCCTGCAAAGCCAGCCTGCACCCTCCCAGACAGGCACACTCACCCCATCCTTGTGCTGGGATCCCTCACTTCCTCAAACCTTGCCACTGACACCCTTGGGACACCCTGTGGGAGGCAGAAGGCCCTGTCACCCCAGTCCCACATCCAGCCCTACCTCTGCCTGCCATGCCAGAGTAGAGGCGGAGAGTGCAGAGGTTCGCCCAGCTCCCAGCACTGCTATTGTCTCGCCGTCATCATCCACCACCTTGAAATCCAGGTCCTCGTTGTACTTTCTCCTCTTCACTTGCCGTCCCGAGCGGCGTTTCTGTGTATGGGATGAAAAAGTCAGTCATGGGGCATGAGATGGGCAGACCAAGTACCTCCTCCTTGCTTGAGCAGAGGAGAGAAAGCCCCAGGACTGCCTGATCTCCAGCCTAACCCCTGCCCCAGTGGCATGGAGGTGGTGGGAAAAACAGGCAGCCCTTGGAGGTAAACCCATCACTGCGGTGCTGAGGTCTCCATCAATGCCTGACCCCCACAGGCCCATCAGCTCCCGAGATGTGAAGCAGAGGAGGCCCATGGACACACACGCAGTTCCCCAGCCCCGCAGGGCCAACCTGCCTCCCCGTGCTGTGCCAGGAAAGGGAAGCTGCCAGGAGCCATGGAGGAGAGGGAAACTCAAGGCTGAGGGACATGTAGCGCCCAGGGTAGCAGCGTGCACGCAACCCAGGGCCACCAGCTGACTTTAGGCAGCGTGGAGACCCTGGGTCCCCTGCAGGACTGGGTTTTACCAGCCACACTGCTGAAAGTGCCCTCTGATCGCTGCTGCCTGGGGCCCAGCTCTTCTCCCACTCAGATGCAGCCAGGATTTCCCTCACTGGCAGCCAGCTGAGGGCTTCAGACCTACCTGGCTGTCAGCTGACTCTGCAGACTCCTCTGGGCTCTGCACGGATGGGCTCAGGACATCCTGATCCAAATCCAAACTGTCCACTGGTATCTCATTTTTCCTCTTCCCTTTCTTCTTCTTCTCCACAGGGGTGTCCTTGCTGCCAAGACAGACTGACAGTTAGATCTTGTCCCAGGGATCCCGGGAAGGGCCAGCAGGCACCCACACAGGGCTCTCCTCCCACTGGATCACCTAGAGGCACCTCATGGCTCCTGAGGCCTCCCCTAGCATTGGCAATCCGCAGTCAGTGATGCTCATTAATCACCATCAAGTGTTTCTCCATCCAATTCAAGTACATGGGGATGAAAGGGTCCACCTGTCCTGTCCTGGTGTGGGGCAGAAAGGGGCTGGGGGCTCCCACCAGCCAG